AATGACCTAGGACCCCTCCACCTTCCAGAACAACCCAAATATTCCTTGATGAAGACCTCATATCCTCCTGCAAAGTAATTCCTACTATTTTTCACACACAGCGTCAACACACAATGTGACCATGAAAGCAGCACCACCAAATATAGTGAGCAAGATCAGTATCACAAAAAATAGAAGCAGAACTACATGGGAACTGGTGAGTTGAAACATGTAATAAGAGGAAATCAAAGCCTCAACTGAAAAGTGGAAAGATTTTGAAAAGTGCCAAATGGAAATTTCAGAACTAAAAAAACTTATATTTAAACTGAGAATTCAATAAATGGGTTTAAAAAGATTAGACATAGATGAAGAAAAAAATTGGTAAACTATAATATAGATCATAATAAAATGAAGATGGAGAAAAGACAAAACACAGGAAAGCATGTAAGATACAGTGAATTCAGCAAAAAGTCATTAACAAATACAGCTGGAATGCTACAGGAAAAGGAAAATGGATCCAAAGCTATATTTGAAAATTGATTAGTTTTCTAAAAACCAGTAAGATATATTTTTTAGCCATTCAGTAATGTTGAATACGTCCACAGAGAATTATGTGCGGTGTAATTACAGGATCCATGGTGTGGGGCACTCCAACCTTGTATCTTCAATACATTTTCAAGGAACAAGGGATGAAGCAGAAACCTACGTCAAGGAGACATAGGAAACGGGTCAACCAATCACAGTGTGGACTGCAACTGATTCACTTGGGAATTCACTTGTGATGCACTTGGGAAAAATCAACTGTGATATTCACAACACAACTGGAACCTTGAACAGTAATCAGACATATTATTAAAGAATTATTGTTTTTTGTTCCGTTCAGGTATGGCAATGGTTTGTGAATATGCTAGAACAAAATTTTTTATCTTTTAGGGATACTGACATATCTACAGATGAAATGGTAGAATGACCATTTCAAAATAATACAGAAATGATGAGTTAATGGGGTTAAATATTAAAGACAACTTGCCATGAGTATCAAATTAGGATTTATGCAAGATCATTATACTCTTCAGTCTATTTTTGCCTGTGTTCAAAATTCTCCGTGATGGAAGTTTTTATATAATCATTTGTAAGCTTGCTTCCCTAACAAGACATCAGCCAGCTTCATGGATAATCTTTTACTGTCAATTTAACAGTGTAGAACACTAGAAAGAACACATCCTTATGCCCTTTCTTTCCACCACTAATCCCAGGCATAATATATTTATCAAAGATTAACTAAAACCTCAGTCATTAATCTATATTACTGTAAGCCAAGTACCAGAAACTTTGTTAAGCAAACACTTAAGAAAAATATGACTTTCATTGTACCTAACAAGTTTAACATGTAAAAAGAATTTTGGTGACAGTGAATATAATGCACTTAATTAGTGATCTTATTATTTGCTGTCTCATTTGACAGCAGCCACTATAGTAGGTTTTCCGTGTTGCGTACTTCAAAATAAACCCAACAAAATATTTTTTCATTAACTTAGACTTGACCTATTCCAAGTTAGGTACAGTTTGAGTATCTGTTACTGAAATGCTTGGGACCAGAAGTGTTTACGATTTGAGTTTTGGGATCTTTGGAATATGTGTATATACTTTGTTTATTGTGCATGTCTAGTCTGAAAGTCCAAACTCAGAACTGCTCTGAAGTCCAAGTTTTTTTGAGCACTGACATGATTCTCAACCTGTATTTTACCACACATATTCATCACAGTATACTGTTTATAGTGTCAAGTTATACCTTTCTAATACTCTCTTTAAAATAGATCTCAGCACATTCTGAAAACTTAGAAATGTTGCTGTGGAGACAAAAGTTTAAATGTATTCATAAAAGAGTAAAGACAAGGAGTGAATAAATGCCTTTAATATAGCTGACTTCACTAAGTACTTAAAAAGGTGGGTGGATACATACAGAGATAACATAAAACATGAGTAATCATACCTAAAGTGTATTTTAAATATGAAGTGTATTTTTAATAATTTGTGGTGAGTTTATACTTCCTGTGCCATAGCTCCTACAGATTCAAGATTCTATCCACAACAGACATTTTCTGGGAGTTGCTCCATGGGAATTCCACAGGAACCTTGTAATGTTTATATTCTTCGGAATCTGTATCCACAGTAATTCAGTACATCACAGAAACCAAAATAAGCCTTTCAAGTACTTAAAATAAATCTTACAACATCATACCAAGGTGAAAAGTGATTTCCAGTCATGTTTCTTTCCTTTCCAAGTACATATTTCAAAGAATTTCTCATTAATAAGGCTTTGCATAAAATTTTATTTAATGCAAATATTTCCTGTTGATACCTTTAAACTTCTTCCACTTTACTTTCTTCCTAAATACCAAGGAGATTTTTCTGAGGTATATGACTCAGTCAGTTTCTGGACCATTGTAGAAAACTGATAGGCAAATGTTATCTAACTTAATGATGGGATCTATGTTACTCAACTTTGCTATTACAATGGGGAAAAAAAAAAAAAGGAGCCACGATCTAAAACTACTTGGCATTAACAAATACTCATCTAAAATACCGTTTCTAATTTCTAGTATTCTCTTGCACAAAACCTATCAATTGGTACCACTGAAAATACATTCAACTTCCTTAACTTGTACGTGGCAGTCTTTTATAATCTTGCTCAACTCTAACTCTTCTGAGTATAGCAGTGAAAGCTACATCCCAGGCAATCTGGAATCCCAGGTCTCCAAACATGCTTTCCTCTTTCTGACTCCTTCCTGTGTTAGCTGTTCCCCTTTCCCAGTCATAATCCCTTGCTCTCTCTCTCCCTCCATCTACCCACTCTCCCTTCGAGACCTACCCTTCCCTTTCCGATCATCCAAGTGAGAAAAGGTTTCTTCCTTTCCAAGGCATTTAGAATGTTCCACTCCTGTAATTTTTACTAGAGACTGAACGAAAGGATAGTGACAGCTACTCACCAAATGAATGCCAAACTCTGGAAAGTGGAGAGTTGTACTGTGGAGAAGCTCCATCTGTATGGTGCTTCTACTGCTGGCGTTGCTTCTGACAGTCCCTGAGTGTGCATATCAGCACGTGCTAATGCAGCCTATCTCTATTATGGCAACAGCAGGCCGGAAGGAACTGAATATGGCTACACTTTTAAGGCCTAGGAAATTCTGGGAACATGATGACTTGAACAATCTAATTTTCCTCTCACTTGACTAGAATGTAGAGCAAAAGAAAAAAAGAGCAGGAAGAAAGTCTTACTCAAACTGTCATTATTTCTCCTCCTCTGTGATCAGCAAACGTTTGTGAATGAGGTAGGATACCCAATTGGGTATGTCTCAGGCTAATTCTCATTTCCTAGAATGTCTCTGGCCATCTTTCTAATTTCCTAAAGGTAGGTAGTAGTCTCAGAAATTATACTAGTAGGCCATAAAACCTGGAGTAATACATAGTTGAAGCCTGTTTCACCTAGCTAACCTCAGATCAAAATTACTTCCACATATTGAATAAAGATCATAAGGCTATTGGATGAAAGCCTACTAACAGTTAGGAAAGAAAAACTTGAAAAAAATGTTATCATTGCAGTTCATTTTAATTAACAGACAGCAATGGAAAAATAATTGCTAATTTACTTCTAAGATGTAATAAAAATTTTGGGATGTTATAAAGTCATGAGAAAATGTGTATTTGTTTATAGCCTATATTCCATTAAGTAGAATTTAAAACTGTACTAAAAATTTTGTGGATTAAAATTCATCACAGTTAAATCTCATTGTGGAAAGTAAAACAGACTTACAGTGTTATGATTGTACTACAAGCTAAAAAAGAGAGGAGAGAAGAGGGAGGAAGAGAGGGAGGAAAATACTAACATACATACTTTATGTGCTTATATAAGCATTTGAGACTTTACATCAACCAAAAACTTCTGATCAAATATCTATGAATAGGAAAAGAATAATTTCACCTAGAAATGCCTAAGGAGTTGCTTTTAAAACCTTTAGTCTCGATTTTTAGCCCCACAAAATGAACTTAACAAGTGAAAAATGGCTTCTAAAGATACTGCCTATATAAAAGAACACTGCCCTTGCCTGTTTCAGATGTGAAATCCAATAGCACAGCCACGTGGTCAGAGAACATACTTACTTATAATAATTCTATTACTGAGTTTCTAAAAATATCCCAAGAGTTCATTATAATTTCTGACTTGTAACTTAAAAATTTAGAGTCACTAACAACTCCAAATTTGAATGTTGAGGAAAGTAATACCATACCATAAACATTGAAAAGCAGTAGTTGTAGCTCGGTGGTAGACCATTTGCCTAACATGTACAAGGCCTTGCCTGGGTTCCATCCCCAGCAACACCAAACAAACAGAAAGACAGACAGTAGCTGAAGAGCATCCCTAATCTGAAAATCTAAAATGCTCCAAAATCTGGTAACTTTTTAAGGTACAGGTTCCCACAAAAGGAAAATTCTACACCAAGAAAATTGTATCACTACAGAATTATCTAAAATATTGTATAAAATTACCATCAGTCTATGTGCATAAGGATTATATAAAACCTAAGTGAATTTTGTTTAGACTTGGGTCCCATCTCCAAGATATCTCATTATATATACACACAAATATTAAAAAAAATATGAAAGTTACAGTTGCACATATTTCATATAAGACATAATTGAAACGTGACATCAGCTATATGCCAGGATCTTGAACTAGCACGCTCCAAGGTGACTCACCTGACACAACACTCTGGTGAGCCCCACTGTAAAGACGAAACAACAGGGGCCAGGATCATTGGCTATGGGACCAGCCTGACTCAAGTCTCCATTTTGAAACACTACACTATTTGCTCTTAAATTGAAAGTTAGGCCACAGGAAGCATAATGGTAACCACATTTCTATGTATGTACCTATTTCTTATAAAGAGAGGGGAGTTTTCAAAAAGAGAAGGGAACAAATATTGGGAATACTGTAACATTTTAGTACAAATGGTTTTATTTGTCAAGACAGAAAAACTAATATTTTAAAATACGATATATTAGTATGTATATATTTGACTCAGAACAACTTGCATGTAGTGAAAGAAATATCTATATTTACATGTTTTAAAAACATAAAACATTTTTGGGTATCAGTACCAATCTGTTTTAATTTAAATGTGAATATAAGTACTTTGCTTGAAAAACAGAAAAATATATATTAAAGAGTTCTACCAAATCCTGAAGCTTTATTGAATTTATTGCCTATACAACTAGAAATCCTTTTGAATGTTTTACGGCCAGGGATTGATGTGGATATCAACAATGGTTTAATACTCAAACTGATTTGTTGCTATTTACTTTGTGTAGTTTTATTTAAAGTACATTGCAATCTTCATCCATCCATCCATTCCTTCATTCATTCCTTGTTTGATGTTTTAATAAAATGCCACCTGGAGATCACACCAGTCAGAATGAAAATGTCCAGAACTTCAGATCAGGTAAAGGGGCCAATGAGTGTAACATGGAAAATGACATCAGATGAAAGTTGAGGCATGTAAAAGTTTCACACCAGCTCCTCCAGCTAGTCCACCACTTTAGAGGAAAAAACCAGTTCTTAACGTAAAGCAGCCATTATGTCTGAGAACTCATTGTCCTTTTCTCATTGGTGCTCAGAGGATTTTCTGTACTGTTACTTTTTATGGATTCTAACAAGTTCTTGACTGTTTCACTTCCAGGCTTCTTTCTTTTCTTCGTGGTGAGAGACTTGCTGTTTACTACAGATGGCAGCAGCACGGCTGCCAACCCCCAAGGCCGAATTCTTGGGGAGGGTCCATTTTTATTATCTTGTTCTAAAATCCAGGCACTTTCTCTGGCCAAATCTACAAATTTTTGTATCTGGCTTTGACTTACATTTTTGCTTATGTTGAGAGAAGTTTCAAAAGGATTCTGAATGTGCAGAGGAGAAGAATCAGGTTTGTTCTGTTCCTTTCCCTACAGATTATGACAAGGAAAAAAATGAATAAATATATGAAGGGTTTAAACATCAAAAACCTATAAAATACCAGCATTAACTTCAGAGAGAAAAGAATTTCTTTCCTAAGGGAGATGTATTTGTGTTAGTTGAATGTGTAAGTACTTCTGACTGTTTTTTTTCCTGCTGCAGTTTTGAGTAATATTCTCTAGAGAAAAATAACTTAGGTTTATGACCTATGGAAAATGATGTCAGTGCTCAGGTGACAGGTATCTGGACTAAGTCAACAATAAAAATATTTTTAAAATAATGTACCTTTTACCTAAAAAGATAGAGCTTGGAAGAAAAAAAAAAAGAAAAGGGAAAAAGACAGAAAATGAGACTGGGCATGGCAGCACAGGCCTATAATCCCACTATGGAGGAGGTAGAGGCAAGAGGATCACAAGTTTCAGGTCAGTACAGGTCACATACTGAGACCCTGTCTCAAAAAACAAAAAAGGAGAAAAGATGAAGATGCATGTATTTTTAGACCTGCTAAAAACAATTATGGCGGGAACAGAAACACACAAAATTAGAATCTTAAAGATAATTATTTCCCTAGTATGAAATGAGAAAGGAAGAGAGGAACAAAAGATTATTCATTACTCACTTACAACATTGAAAAGTTTCCATTATATTACTAAAGATCTAACAGTAAGGCTTTTTCCTGTGAGAACATACCTCTCAGAAATGAAAAGCAAAGCTGTAAATCAAATGAAGAGCAGTAGGCATAGCTATCATTTCCCCTCTCAAATGATACCACAAACATCACTGAAATACTCAAAAGCCGGTGGCCAGGGTTCTGCAACAGAGGCAGTACCTTTACTCCTAAATTCTCTCATGTCACTACTTAGCAGGTCTTGCCTGTATATCATCTCTAAGCCCTGAGTATGAAAAACATAAGAACTCTATGGTGACATTTCTTCTTCTAGATGCATTCCAGAGCTTTCTGGTTCCCTTCCTCACATTTTTATTTTAACAATAAAGCAGGAGAGGAAAGCTAAAGACACAACATAAAAGACTATCTGTGGAACCAATCTCAAAGGTTTGTATCCAGATGATAAACAGAAGAAACCCAAACAGAGCTATCACAAGCTTCCCCTAATCGGGAACACATTTGGCCTACAAATCTGCTATGACTAACTTTCTTTTTTAGAAACATATGAAGCTGGGGGTATAGCTAGGTAAGGCAGAGCATTTACCTAGCATGTGAGAGGCTCTGGGTTCATCCCCAGTACAACCAAAGAACAGTACCAACTGAGCTAACTCAGAAGAATCAAAATCACAAATTCTGTCAAATGAGGGAACCCCTAAAATCTATCACTGGGAGCCTATCAAAATTTTTCCATGGAGGCAAGGTGGCACAGGTCTATAATCCCAGCACTCAGAAGGTGAATATAGAACAGTGAGATTGAGGCCAGTCTGGTATACATAAGGGACACTCTCCAAAAAAAAAAATCTTCCATAGGAACAAAAATTCAAGCTTAAAACCTTTATGTACAATTACAATTTTTGGAAAATTTTTCAGGATATCATTCTATATCTTAAAGACTATAGTATTAGCACTAAGTGATGACAGAAGCCTCAAGACATTGTACTTTAAGGCAGACAGATACTAAAGGAGCTGACTTTTGCACTTAAACCTAACAGATGACTGAGCTTAGTCAAGTTATGGAGCTCCTCTAGGAATCAACCTCCTACAACCCTGGAGAAGTAACATTTGTTAGTGTTTCGAAAAAGAATCAGGTACAGTAGAAAACTAGATACCTTATTAACAAATACTAAAACATTATTTACCTGTCGAATATTTATGGAATTTTTACTGAAAGCGAAATTGCCATAATACTCAAAAAATTCCTTCAGTAGTAGCTCTGCAAGAAAATAAAATAAGGAAAATATGAAGAAAGTTTGTTTGAATCCAAAAAGGAATAACGAAAAAGAAAACCACTTACCTAGTGTTTCTGTATTTCCTGAAGGTTTAATTTTATTTAAGTCATGAGTAAATGTACAATTGTTGCCTTCTATTATACATTTATCTTCAGCATCTTAAATAGAAAGGAAAAAGTTCACATTTCAAAGCCATTTCCTACTTTCAGAAGTATGCTTTTAAAAAGTTAGTTATATCAGTCTTACTAGTTTCATTATTAGCCAGTGTTATGTGTATTTACAGTAATGCAAAACTTTCCATAAAAAAAGTGTTGAAATGAATTATACTAATTACAGTGAATCTAACATTGCATTTCCTTTAGCATACTAGAACTACTTTCTAACAACTCAATGATTCCTAACAATCTTCTGAACTAATCAGTTTTCTAGTTCAAAAATGCATGGAGTAAACAAATGTCAGATGGGAGGACCTGAGTTCACCAAAAAACATGTGATAGATTGTTTACATCAGCAGCTATCTGGAATAGTCCTAAACTACAAATTATTCAGATACCAATCAAAAAACAGAATGTAAAATACTGGTATATCCACATAGTAATGTAGCCATGGAAATGAACAGTTCATAAATACACTAAAAATATGACTACATCTTCCAAACATAGCGTTGACAAGAAAATATATACTATGCAATACCTTTTACCTAAAAGACATGAATAGGTTAAAATTTATCTATGCCATTAGGAAGGACTGGGAAGGGCAGTACATGGAAGAGAGCAAAGCTGGACTGCTTTACTCAAGCTAGTGGTGGTCCCATGGGTGTGTTCAGTTCGTGAAAACCAGTTTATACACACGTGCTTCTATGTGTATTATGTCAGGTTTTTTTAGGTACAAGCTCTGAAAAGTGCTTGGGTTTGAATCCCAGCTCTAGCATCTTTTAGCTATGTGGCACTGAGAAATTTAGATAACCTCTCAAAGCCTTACTTTCCTCACCAATAAAATGAAAAAAGTACTACTGTTTCATAAAATTTGCTGGAATGATGGAAGGAGATGACGTATACGTTTCTCTTGGTCAAGAATCTGGCAGAGAGCTCTCACTCAGTAAACTGGTGCTGAGTTACAAATTGCCTCTCTTTTATGCTGGAGTCTCTTGCATTAACATTGCTAAAGATGCTACTATTTATTTCTTCCTCAAATTCCTAACTCATCACTTAGGATCCAAACCAACCAACCAAAAAACTTTTAATTAAGCAACATTTTTAAGAGGAAACTACTATATAAAAGCACTAAAAAAGTACAGAAGTAAATACAACGAAGTCAGCAAACTCAAAAATGATGGGATACACAAGAAAGTAAGACACACATGGGGGAAGTAGTGGAATTTGTATGGAAACACAAAAAAATCCAAGACTGACCAAAATAGGAAAGGTGCCATCAGGGTCTACTTCTACTGCTGCAATGATCATCCAATCACTTACAATCTATGGACATAATATCATGCCAGCCACAGAGGATGAAGAGATGAAGGAAAGACAGCCTGCTCTAGAAAAGGTTGAGGAAGCTGAAGTGGGCAGATACAAGAACTACAACAATCTAACAGCTGTTAAGGTACAGGTGAGTACCAAATGCTTGGAAGCCAATGGAGCATACCACTGTAAAGGCAGGGAGGACAGCCAGGAAAGACTTAACATAGGAGATCCACACAGTGCTAGGTTTGTCGTCTTTCTTCCCTGATTCATCTTTAGCAGGTTCTCCTTGTAAAGAGGTGGGGAGAATGTCACTGCAGGCAAAGACACAGTCATGAAAGTGGCAGGAAACATCTGAGATCAGCAAGGATTTTAGAGTGTGGAAGAGATGATGAAATGAAGAGGATGATCACAAAGCCCGTATACAATGCTAAAAAGTTTGGGCTTTATTTTAGCGTAAGTTCCAAATGGTGGTTTACAAACTCCTACAAGTTCTGGAAGGTGTTCCAAGAATTGAAGCTATCCTCTAATAATGAACTTATTTGCAATCAAAACCACTCTTTTCATTTTAAAATAGAACAAATGTTGCAGACCCTATTTGTGTATCAAATGAGAGGAATAGCTTAAAGAAATCAAATGATTGTATACAAAATTGAAGTCACTCCACGAGTATACAAAGATGTCTCTGATTTTCAGTTTAACATTACTTTTATTCTTGGCTATATACTCTGTAATGTTCATCAATATTAAACTATCTGTTAAAATCAGGAAGTATAACTATAGACTTTGAAAACATGAGTAAGAAAAATATTTTTATAACTTCTCTTCAAAATGATTTACCATGTCCTTAATATACATTCATCTAAGAAAAATTCTTTAATATCAATTTCAAAACCAAGGAAAAAAGTACAAATTTTGCTTTGGGTTTATTGGAAATTCACTTGTACAATATGCTATATACAGAGAAGCAACTGCAAAAAAAAACCAGCCCAACAATTTCTCTTAATCAAAAACACAAAAATTTTAAATCAATCAAATGGATTTTTAAGTGGAAAATTAAGGAATTCCAAAACTAGCTTTGTCCATTTTGATACCATAAGATGTGAATACATTCAAATTTATTTCTAAATGGTTTGAAATAAAAACTCAACATGTAATTTTTCATTTTTCTTTTCTTTTTTTGCTATGTAGTCTAGGCAGCCTCAAATTTACAATCCCCGTGCCTCTGCCTTTCAAGTGTGAGGATTACAGACAAGTGCTACTATGACCAGCCCACAAATCACATTCTTTTCTAAAACAATTGTGAAACTTTTATGAAAGATAGTAGAAAGATATTAAAGAATTTCAAGAGAAATAATCATACTATAAATATTTTTGAAAAATCACTCTCTTAGCTAAGCACAGACTAGTGTGAAACAAACTGGAGGTAAGGGGAGAAGACTGTTTTTAAGTCTTCCTGGGCAGGGGACCACAATGGCCGGACACAGGGAGTGTGGCAGTAACTGAGAGAGGAATAGAACAATCATGATGCTGGAGTGGTTGGTCCCTAACATAACCTGCTGCTGTTCTTCCTCCTTTTTATGGTTTCTTCTCTTTCTGTTTCTGAGCTCCAAAATGTTTCATGACTTTCCCCAACAATGGCGCACATATCAGGAATGGGACAGGAAGGGTTATTTATAGGTTGTTTATGAATGAGAAGCTACCAGTATGTTGTTTATGTCCTATCTTTCTACTAGATGGTTAGTTATCTGAGACATCCTATATACTTTACTGCTTTAAAAATAACTCCTTACACATAATAGGCAATCAACAAATACTCAATCAAGACACCAAAGGATGAAATAAGCACATTATTTGCCCTTTATTTCAACTTTAAAAGTAGATGCTGGCCTTAATTTCAACTTTAAAAGTGAAACAGATGAGTATCACCCTACCCTGCTAAAAACCTCCTATCTTCCATCAACCTACCACATTTAGCTTGTTTTAAGCTCAATTTCAAGTTACACTAGTACTTATAGTGTTCCCAGAAATTACTTCTAATTTGAATAATGGAAGGTGGCAGAGAAGAGACAGTTTAGTGTGAGAGAAGAGAAACATTCTAGGCAGAAAAACAGAATGAATAAAGGAGCAAAGATAAAATGCTATGAAAGCAATCATAGTATTGGCTGACATACCGGAACATACAAAGAGGGAGAGGTTGGAAAACTGGGTTGTACCTAGATGGCTAAAGGTTTTAAACATCAAGCCCTGGTTCAATACACAAGGCATAAAATTCCTTTTAAGGTTATTTTAAACAGGGAAGATTCAAGGATGCACTTACAAGAATTAACTAGCAGCAATATTGTAGGATGGATAGAAGATTACATATGCATTTTCAACATACATATCTTTTAATTATCTTCCTTTTAGAATTTCGAACTGCAATATTTTACTATCTGCTCCATCAGGCTATCAAAATTTCAACTTCATAACATAAACACTATTACCACACATTTAAAATAGTGTACCTAACATTGATTGTGAACTCTTAACTAAAACCATATTAATCTAGAGTAGGTCAAACTAAGGGAGAGGCTCCCACTGTGCCATGACTGTTGCAAACAACTTACCAACTGACACAAATAACAGAGAACTCTCAAAAAATTCTAAAGATCTGCTTCACAGATCTGTTCTCATGACTCTTGGTAAGCATTAAAAAACTAAAAAGCACTTAAATTTCAGATTCACTTATTTTTAACATTTAAAAATCAAGAAGACAAATTATATGACTAATGAACAAATACACATGGCTTAGATAATATTGGTAAATATCCATATAATGTCAAGAAAAGAAAATAGAAAAGACTGTTTCTAGTTCTACCTGCTAGGGTTTTCAGGGAATCCAGGGTTGGAAGAATAGGGGGTGATCTTCTCTGGAGGAAAAAGATGACCATCATTGTAAGGGAGAAATTTGTAATCCAGGCACCAGGAATGCTACTTGTTAATGAATGTGCTCGAGCCCAGCATCGTACACTGAACACCAAGGCTCTTACTCTTGAATCCAGGGCACCGTAGATATAAAGTAGTTCTGAGCTTTTCAAGGCAATCCTTCAGAAAAGAAAAATAGGAGGAATTTTCAAACTCCTAAATTAGGATTCAAGAGTCAAAGTATGTATCTGGTAACATATCTAAATAGCTCACTGTATCTAAATGCATTTAGAATACCATGGCTAAACAATCAAAAGAAATACGCATTTGTAATATAAAATGTAATGTAAATGCTTGAACATCAAACACCTCCATTATGTGTTCTTTTAAATACTGGCCATCAGGATTGGAGTTTGCGCTCAGGGCCTCTCACTCACTAGGCAGGCAGGCACTCCAGCACATGAGCCACTCTGCTGGCCTTTTTATGTTGGGTGGTTCTGAGATAAGGGCTTGTTTTGTTTTTCTCCTCCAGGCTGCCTTGTACTGTGATCCTCTGGCACTTGGCTAAAACTTAAAACAAAGTTTTTAAAACAAAGTTCCCAAACATGATTTAGTGAAATGTGTGTATAGGAGTTCTTTACAACTATCTCTAAAGAAAAAGTTTATCCAGTCCATTGACAGACAAGTTAGCCTTAACAGAGAAAAACATTCTACTTACTTTACCAAGAAAGCATTTAGCTGAATTCTTACAATTTGTGGAAAAGTCAAAATTATTTAAGTCTAACATTTATAAAAACAAAACTGTTTACAGATAAAGTTCATTAAGAAGTCAAACTTCAGAGCTGGGACGTGGTGGTGGCATGTACCTGAAGTCCCAGCTACTAAGGAAGGCTGATGGAGGAAGATCACTTAAGCTCCTTGTCCTCAGTTTTGGGACAGCCTGAGCAACAAAGTGAGACTCCTAACTCATAATAATAATAATAATAATAGTAATAAAAATAAAATAAAATTTAAAATGTACTTACAGTATATTTCCTAGTCAAAATGCAAATTCAAAACTTGTTAATCAGAAATATTTTCAATTTAAGTCCCTACTTATCAAAATGTGCCTTATAATTTCCCCAAAACCAAGAGAGGGCACAAAACAGAATGTGAGGGTAACTTAAACTGTCACTAAAGTACCACCATAGCATTTAAATCTAAGAAAAAAAGAGAACAGAATAGTACGTGAAAAATACACAGTGAATAGGGTTTATACATTTAAATGAAGTTAAACTGAAAAATAAATATCAAATAGTATAAGGTATCTCATATAAAGAAACACTGCACACATTAAAAACCAGAAGAAAGCATATATAAGAAACCTGAAGAAAAGCAAATTTTTACAAACCTGTCTCAATAAGAAAAAGAAAATAACCTTATAAAAATGTCATTTTGTCCTATTTTACAAACCATAAAGAAAATGAAATAGTGACAGAAAGTGTAGTATATTTTTATTTTTATGTTAACATTTAACAAGAAGTCACAAATACTTGAGAAAAATCCAGAAGTACTTATCATTAGCTTATGGAAGAATTCAGTTTAATCAAAAGTGCTCTAGATCGGATTTTCTGAATCTGTTTTCAATTATGATTATTCATCTAACAGATAGTATGAAAAAAATCGAACATATGTAAGAATACCAGAGTAAGAAACAAAAGTTTTCCCTATTGTGAACCTAGAAAAAATTTCAGAATATAATAACTTGTCACTCTCACCCTACTTTTTTTAAGCAAACAGGTTGCTAGGACAACACAATGCAAACATGCTGAGGAAAAACTATCCAGTTTTAAGCTATTCAGACCACTTTCTGACATAATCAAAGACCACATTTCTCTAGTATACAAGCTGACCATACCCGGAGGCAATTCAGAGGTCAAACCTAAGTTACTGCTTTGTTTTCTAAGTATGCTTAGAAACTTATACTATAAGTAGTTTTCACATTATCAGCCTATACAGTAAGAACATATTTCATCCACTGTTATATTAGTTATGCTAGCATTTTAACACAATACTCTAATGCTTTGTTTAGGAAGAACAAATTGCCAACAGCTACAATAAAAGAAAAGGGATTTGCTACTTTTCAATCCAAGTGTTCAAATTTAAAAAAAAATGATTAAGATATATCTACAAGAGTTCAAAGTCACTGTTTCTATACAAGAAACTCTAAGCTTCTTATAATGTTCACTTAAGATGATAGACTTATAAGATCATACCTGTTGTTAGTAGTCAAATCACATTGAAATCCAGAGGGCTGGTGGGAAAATCTCACGAGCGGACACCGTGCATTTAATATTTTCTGTATACCCACACAACCAGGGCCTAAGTGGTCAAGGCATTCTCCTATCACAGACAGGATCTTCTGAGTTGCAATTCTTTCTGAAGGAACATTTTTCACTTGATATTCCATCAAAAAATTTCCAACGTTCTAAACAATAAAAACATATGTAACTAGGAGCTTTTATGCTGAAAGGAATTTCTTAATAAATTCTTTCTAAATGGATGCTCTAAATCATTTCTGGCAAGTAAACAAAGTAATAGTATGATAATTATGCAAACACAGCCAAAAGCAGACTTAAAAGATCTTTGGTTACTTTTTGTTTCTCAAGAATATAAAGTATTAATTTACAAATTCATTGACTTTTTATAACTAATTTGTCACAGCATAGTATCAAGAGATTATTACACACAGAACCACTTGCTGTATAAATTCTTTGAGCATACATCTGCCCTTTCTTACTTAGCCAGTTCATTACATTTTAATATGTACTATAAATCCACAATACAGGGACAAGAATAACAGTTTTAGTAAAAGAAAACAGACAGTACACATACATTTAACTATGTACAGAAATTTAATTACTCAATAAATGAACTGCAAATTACTAGGCAAATATTCCCATTCAGCAAAGTTACATGGTCATAAATCAGCTAGATCCTTAGTTTAGCCCTAAAACTGAATTAAACACAGATCAAAAACTTAAATGCAGAAAGTGCATCAGTGAGGTATTAGAAGATAAGCAAATGTTTTACAATATTAGAAGAGCAAAGGAGTCTCTATATGTGACCCAAATTATGGAAGACAAAAGATGACTGCATAAAAATGAAAGCACACTAAGGCAAAGCATAAAGTCACCACCAGATAAAAGACAAGTCAGTAACACACCTCACACAATGGGCTAACTAAAACATGAAGAAAAACACATCCAATTTTTTTAGTGGGCAAAAGAAGACTTGAATAAAAAATTAACAGAAGAAATAAAAATGGCTAATAAACACAATGAAAGATGCTCGTGTTTGCCAGAAATGAAAGAAGAAATTAGAACAGCAATGAGATTTTCCATTTACCAGTCTAACAAAGACAAACAGGCTGATGGTCAGCATTGGTGGGTTCAGGGAAATGTGCAAGCTGTAGGTGACAGTGTCAACTAGGACATACTTCTGGTAGAACTTATCAATAGCTAACTTTAAATGAATCATATTTTAAGATTAAAATGCTAAGAAAGTGTCTCAAAGTAATACTTGCATAAAAGAGTCAATTTGCAAAGGTATTCCCTATAGCATCATTCATATGGTAGATACCTTTTGGTAGCTTAGTAATACTTCCCTACTCTCAATCCTCCGCCCGCCACCCCCCACCCCCGCAAATCTAGATCTCATTTCTTCTAAAGGGATCAAGGCCCCAACACCATCATGGAAATCTATTCTGCTCCTCCCAGCCAGGTGGATCACACATTCACCCAAGATCTCTACTGGGAATGAGAAGTAAGATTCTGAGGCAAGCATGTAGCTGAAGCATGTAAACTTTGGGGCAGGTATACTTATATGACAAATATGAAAAAGTAAAGAAATCAATGGAGGTGAGAAGGAAGGAGTAAAAAGGACAGAGAATGAGATAACTAAAGCAAATATACAGAAACTGACACTTCTTGTGTTCCTGATAGATTATACTTCATAGTTCCAGTTCTTCCTAAGACTCATCCACATTCCTGACTCTGAGTTTTTGGATGCCTCCTTACTTCTTTATTTTGCTTACGCTAGTTTGGGCTGCTTTTGTTACGTATATCCAAAGAACATTAACTAATAATAATGAAGAGCAGAAAAACAGTAATGGTAATGAAAAATAGGAAAAAACATAGCATTCTAACAAATAGAGGACAGTTTAAATTATGATCTAATCATTCAACAGAATGTTCTGCAGCTGTTGAAAAATATAGTAGACTGAATTGTCAAGACATGTTATTACAGGGGAAAAACTCAAGTTATAATTTTTACATTAGTTATCTATAAAGATTTAGTTTTGTTCAAAAAAGACATTTATGTATGCAAAGGAAAAAAATTCAGAATAAAATACATTATACAATTCATGGTAATTATCTCTGGAGATGGTTGGATCATCAGAGTTATTTATATCATAGATTTCTGTGTCTGTTATTTATAATCAGAAAAACAGACTAAATAAATACACAAATATTACATATATAAAAACAATCCCCACAAATAAACATGTTGTATTTTCTCTATTGATTTCTGTCATGTTGGCAGGTTCCTATTTAGTAGGCTGCTTTTATATTAAAGAGACTAAAAAACAGATTTTTTTCCTTAAAAACACTGAAGTTTAAAAACTCTGGTTTAATATATCTTTGTAACTTTCCTATTTCCTTAGTCTCCTATTTTAAAACACAAGCACATACAAACTTACATGAGACATAGAAAACCAAACAAGAGCAACCAGGAAATAAAGTGTGGAGATATTTAACAGTTAAACAAAGAAAGAGAAACATCTCTATGAAAAGAATAAAACCATCAATCAAGGTAAAAAAATGAAATGACATTAGAAAGAAGTAAATCTGAGTAGTGGAATTAAGAGACAGGAAGCTGGAGAGCTGAACTTCAGGCAGGATTCTGAAAGCTAATGAAGTTAGCTACTCCTCCACAATCACCTTTCTAGCTTTTTGGTGGGGTATCGCGTTCCTACAATTCTAAGGTTCAGCATGGTCACATGCTTTGCTTCGGCCAATGAAATGCAAGCAGAGGCCAACGTGTCACTTCCAGGCAGAACATAAAGAATCAATGCTCAATTCTCTCCATTCAGTCCGGTGATGGCTGGAGAAGAATGCTGGTCAGTCTGAGTGCTTGAGAGGGTAAAATGTCTACTGTGCTAGATGCTGACCTGCTTTGGACTCCAGCCTCAGCAAGAGATAGACAGTTGATATGTTAATCCACTAAGATTTGGGGTTGTCTGTTACCAAAGCATAAAGCAGCCAAACATGACTGACACCAAAAGAGCAAGAAAATCACATGAGGTAATTAGATAAACGAACTCTGCACAAAAATAAAACAATGCCATTATAAAAGATACAGGGGATGAAAAACACACCTATCATGAGCAAAGGTAAAATACTCTTAAGAACTATTGTTCTCTATCAGATAAAAATTTTAAAAATTCTTCACAGATAATTTACTCAATAAATACTTCTAGTATTTGATATCCCTATAGCACAACCTAGTGGCAGATAATCTAATAAGGGAAAAATAAAAATAGCACATTGCTCACCAATCAATTAGATAACAGAAAATAGTGCTTAGGACTTAGTCACTAATTTCTACTTCTGTTACCCAAATCCTCCAAGACATAGAGCCCTATTAGAAAAAGCAAAACTGAAGAAAGAATCTAAGGCAGATTTTAGCTTAGTATTTCATGCTAAAACGATCTTTGTGATAAACATCTTTCACACGCTAAAAAAAAAAAAAAAGAATGAATGCTGATATTTACTACTTTTATTAATGAATGACTTTCCATTTATATGTTACCAAACAATTTATTTAGTGCCTGTCCTGCACAGGCTATCACACACAGTACTAGGAGACATAGAAAAAAAGGCTAACACATGCATCCGAACTCCCCTCCAGTTAAGCTGGGAGAATACAACAAGTACACCAAGAATTATAAAACAAAGTGGAGCACCCCCCTCCCCCGCCAAAAAAATCAAGTACCAAAAGAACTGAAAGGTAACAGAAGAGTTCATGTTTATATAAAGAAAGCTTTATGAACTGCATGAATTTAAATTTTTCATTGTGTTTTATTGTTAGCAAAGCCATAATTTAAATTATATCTCAAAATAATCTTAAGCACATACTTCCAAGAAATCTTAAGTAAGCACTTATATTTATAACACTTTTCTAAGTTAAACCTACTAGCAAAATAATGTCAAATGGTTTAGTAACCATTTGGAGCACTGGCTTTTTAAACTAACTTTTTCTAAAACCCCTGTAAGCTCAGAAATCTAAGAGTTAAGATCCAACTAAATTTCCAACTTCTCTCTGTGCTTCCAGCAGAGATTAAAAAAAAAAAAAAAAAGGTTTCTCACTTGCAGAATGGTAAAATGGTTAATATTGCCTGTGGATGGTGGTCCACGCACCAAGTGCCAAGCACTGTGCTAAGTGTGCGCTCTTCATCCCTGGACGAGACAGGTGCTACAGGACAGTCCCAATTTGACAGGAAAATTGAGAAATAAAGAATAACTGATTCAAGATCACATTGCTGCTAAGCAGAACTACAATCCTGCAGCTGGCTCCAGAGCCCAGGCTTTTTAAACCACTTCGACACATTGCTACGCTCTTTGATTATTCATTATACTCTTTATTTAAAGGCACCACAACTTAAGTGCCCTGTGGGGAATTTAATACAATTTTAATCATGTGTTAGAATAAAAGTGGCCCATTTAATTGCAATGCTTCCTATTCCTGACTAGAAGTGTATTCTAAGTATTCTGAGCATATTAAGGATGTCAGGAATGATGACCACTAACTACTGTGGGCTAAGTCCCTGTTCTCCCAAGCTTATGGTACAGCAATAGACATACAGAACCACCCTCTAGACAGGACACAGTAAAAATCTGGAGAGAGAAATACCATCAAGATACTTAAAAAAAAAAAAAAACGGAAATGATTAATTTTGATGAAGGTAGAGAAAAGAAAGAAGGATGGCTTCAAGAAGGTAGTCAGACATAGGCTTGAAAAGTAGCACAAGAGTAAGAGTTGGGGAATGGAAAGAAAGGACTTTCTGACCAAAGAGTTAGAACAACTGTTTTATCATTATAATATTCTAAAAGTGCCCTATAGTCCTGGAGAAAATTAAATAACATGGTTGGAAAATTGGTGAAGATAGAAGATATATAATGAGAAGTGATGACTAAAATTAACAAAGAGACAAATCACTTCAATATTATGCTGAAGAGAAGAATCATTTTAAGTTTGTGAGAAAATCCAAACTGTGTTTTAAGATAACTCCAGGACAGAATAGATATTATTACGATACCTAAGTTTGACAGTTTGTGAGGGACTATGGAACTATACACACAAAAGGTACAAATTAAAAAGGGAAACATTAGCAAAGCTAAAATGCTATTAACAAGTATCTGATACATGTGTAAGAACTTTAAAGAGCTCAGATGAACATGTACATCACGAACTTTAAAGTGTCAACGTGACATCCAAATAAAGATGCCCATTACTAGCTTGGAACACCTAAGAAAAGATGGCCATAAACCCTAACATTTTATTTTTTTAAGAGGTTTTTCAAAGTTGTAATTAAGCATCCCTTATGTTGTTTGGAAGGATGGCAGAGATGTTGGTTAATTTTACTTTGTTAGACATGCTTGTTAAAAAGAACATACCAGAATACAGAACATCCAAACTGCAAGAGGTTAAAAATGAAAATAAAAGAGCAAGGGGGAAGGGCAAAACTAAAGTGGATTGATCTAATAAGAGGAAGAAGTAAATGAGAAACAAAAAGAGCACAGAAGGTAGGAAAAACAACAGGACAGTAGAAATAACAACATATCACACTCAAGTCTCACAGACAGGAGTAAAAGCACACTGCTATTTTTAAGAGATACACATAAAACATAACAGATATAAAGGCTGAAAATAAAAAGAAAAAAATGTGAGCAGATAGCAAGTGACCATCTTAACTAACAAAACAGGATCTAAAGCATTTACAGACATGAAGAGGGACATGGGTCCTCTAATGAAAACTTAATCCAGTAAAATATAAAAATCATATACCTTTGTGTAGCTTACACAGTCCTTGAATAAAACAAAACAAAAAAAATCAAAAGAATTTTAAGGACAAATTAACCAAAAATCATGAGATTTAGATACATCTCAATAACTATATCATGCAGATAAAAATTAGTTCATATTTAGGATCTGAATATAATCTGAATTCAGAATGTTACATAATCTGTATAATGCAATTAATAAAACCAAAAATCAGGAGACTCTCAAATACTTCAGTAACTAATTCACACAGATAAAAAATTTAGTTATGATACACATACTCTGAATAACATAACAAGCAACCTAGAGTTAACTGAAAAACTTCTGAATCTTGAAAATAACAGAACAATCACAATAAATGACCCCATGTTAGATCAATACAAAGAAATACTTTTCAGTTCCAAGGAATCAATATCAGATAAACTTTATTCTTTAATCATAATGGTTACTAAGTTTAGAGATCAACAGTTATTTTTTTAGGTCCAATGATTTTTCTTTTCTTTTCTAATTTTTTAAGTTTAAGTGACTATAGTGAAATATATATAGAAATATATATATAGAGAGAAATATATATATATAGAAATATATATATATATATGTATATATATATATATATATATATATATATATATATACAGAGAGAGAGAGAGAGAAAGAAATATCATTACCTTGTTAGTGCTGACTTTTCCAAATTCATCTAAATCTAAAAACATGTCCAAATCACATCCTAATTTCCCAAAAGTGTTCACTGAGGAGCCAAAGGGTCTGACTGTACAGTCTGGGAAATAGGCAGCTGCTATGTCTTCAATAAAAGAACAGGTGAGATACCGAAGCTTTGTTCTCTTCTGTTAGCTGGAATTTCCTCAGGAGACTGTTCAGCTGATCATCTATCTAGCTGGCCAAAACAAAACAGCAAAATACAGAAAATGTAGAGGTCATATAAAATAAATCATTTTCTACTTTTTTTTTCTTTTTGTTGTACTAGGGATCAACCAAGGGCCTTGTGAATTCTATGGGGTAACTACTGTATCAGTGAATTACATCTCTGGCCCACAAAATAATTGTCCTTCACTTCTGAAGATTTGATGGCTTTAGATACATACTTTAAAACTATGCAATTTTTTTTAGTCTTAAAAATAGATTTAAAATATTCTTTAAAAAGTACTGAAAAATGACAACAAAAATGAAAGTTGGCTGGAATTCAAGCTACCACTTTTTTAAAGCAATGTGCATAAAATATTGTTTGAGGAAAATGCAAATAATAAAGTGCTCCAGAAGAAGTCAAAACAACCACAAAATTACACAGGGGAGGGTAAGCAATGTTAAAGTTCAAGAAACACTAGAAATAAGCAACAATTTATGTAATAAAGGCCCAAGATCTCTGTTTTTTATAAATAGCCCTGTATATTCACAGAAGATTGGCATTAAAATACTCATTTTTTGAAACTGCACTTGAGGACATTTTTTTTGTTTTGCTTTTTTGTTTTTGTTTTTTGAGACAGGGTCTAACTATGTAGCCCAGGCTGGCCTTGAATTTAAGTTCCTCCTTCCTCAGCCTCCCAATTGCTGGGATTACAGACGTTACACCCAGCCCCTGAGTGCATTTAAAGAAAGGTATTTAAAGTAAAATATATGTGATTCACATGTACACACACACACACACATATATAAACCATAGCTTCAAATCTGAAAACTATGTTGAAAATAACTAAGCACTGAACTCAAAAACATTTTTTAAACAAATAAAGTACAGGAAATACATAAGTTAGAAGCAAAAGAATTAAAAATTAGAAAATCAAACCAAAACAGTCATAATATTTTGATAAATAAAAATATGACTTGATTCTAAGGACTGCTAAGCAAATATATATTCAAATATCAACAAAGGAAAAAGAAAATAAGATACCATAAAATTTATACAATACTACATACAATATTTTTGTTATTATGTTGAAGAGAAAGAAAATCTGAATTGTCCAAAAAAGCCAAAAACGTTGGAAGACTGTGGTTACCTTGGAGGAGTACAGGGGCCATGGGGCATACGGTGGATAAGGATTGTTTCATCTTTCTTTCTATACATTCTCTAGCTTCAATTTTATACAGCAACCTCATTTACTAGTAGAGATATTTTTTAAAATAGTAAGAAACATTAGCTAAGCAAATTGTTAATTTATTTTTAAAAAATACACCTTAACTAAGTACGGTATAGTCTATAAATGCAACAGTGGTTTAACGTGAGGAAATCTATGACTTCATTCACTTCATTAAAAGAAACAAGAGAAAATTGTGTATTTCAAGACTATATACCAACTAATCAAGATAATCTCAAATGCCAAAACCCAATTTCTACTGATGAAACTCTTAAAAGGCTAGAAATATAAGAAAACTGTCCTTCATGTCATACATCCATCATCACCCATTTCTGTAACTCCTTTCATCTTGCAAAGCTAAAGCCTTACACCCATTACTCATGATGTAACTGCCTGAATATTTCATAAGTACTTTTATAATATATGCCACACATATTTTTAGAAGTTGAAGTAAGTATACCTATAAACTTACACTTTCTGCATAATAAAGTATTTCAAAAAGCTTCTTGCTTGAAGGAGGCAACTGATTAGTTGTCTCTACACATGGCTGCTCAGAAATCTGGCTTGATGGATTCTTCAGCTTTAAATTGAAGAAACGTGATTTGAAAGGAATTGCAGCCTCTGTGCCCAGGCTTGGAGTATGAATTCCACCCTGCAGTGAATACACACTGTCCTTTCGGCAAAATTCTACAACAGCATAGAGACCCTATTCCAAAAATAAAAGAAAAACCAGAAGGCACTTCATATTTGACATAGTTATCTTCAAACAATTATAATGCTAAAAAATACTATTTTAATTTATAAATGATATAACGCTATCATAAGCACTAGTATTATTTGTTATAAGTAGACTAGGAGCACTGTACAGTAGTATCAGTCAAGAAACCGAAAAGATCAGTGAAATACAAAATTAAAAACAAAGATCTCCTCCCATTAGCCTTTATCTAAAGTATTAAAGTACTCAAATAATAGAATCATTAAGTCATAAACTGTTTATAATTCTAAAATACTGCTATAAAGATTTTAATCTGATATTTTAAAAAAACTCACTAAAGAACTGGAAAGCCAGGCACTGGTAGATGACACCCCACAAGCTGAGATCGGGAGGATCACAGTTTGAGGCCAGTCTCAGCAAATAGTTTGAGAGACTCCATCTCCAAAATAACCAGAGCAAAAAATGGACTGTAGGTATGGGAGGGAGGGAGGAAGGGAGGAAGGAAGGGGAAATAAGGGAAATGTAGATAAGGAAAGATGTAAGAAATGAATAGAGAATCTAACTTTATATATTGCAAAAGATAACAAAAAATATGTACTCTTCAAAAGCATGAATGCTGAGTTAGATTGTTTTTCAGATACATACAAAGCCTTCATAGAAGAAATGATTATTAATAGGTCCATGTTGGGATAAATACTTGAGAAACTTTCTTTCGTTGATTTTATTTGGGCAATGTATTAAAACAGTCCTCTGTGCTTGTTCTCGTCTTTCTTTCTGCACCTCAGAGAACCTCTTTTTGGGAATCTTGTCTTCAGAGCCTGAAATGAGACAAAACATTTTCTATCACATACACATATACACACATGTAAAATTTAAAACATATTTTGATAAAGTACGGAAAGACTTTTATATACGATTAATCATATTTTTTCTTCTCTTCCTTTTAAAGGTTAAATTATGCTACTTCCAATGTTCACTTCATTATTCTCCTGTGACTTTCATTAAAACCATCCCCCTTCATCTGTTTTGATTTACTGTACTTGATGAACAGTGCTGAAAACAGAGCTCCACAAAATCTCAGAAACCCAAGTAGGAAGTAAAACCACTCTCACACTTCCACAAAACCTGTGTACACTGTAACATCTAAGAGCCAAAAGAAATTATTACAAGCCTCAGTGTAGTAAGTCAGTGACCTTAGAAGTTCAATGTACTGAAGTAAGTTATTAAGTTTTTCTTTGTCAAGGGGTCTTGATCTGGCTCAAATAGTTGTATACAAGTTACCAATTACATGCTCACAGGGAAATCAAAGAATTTAAAACTTAGTTGCTGCTCAAAAACAGCTAAGGAAACAGAACAATTTTTTTTTCATTAAAAAACCTTTGTATCAAACATAGGCAATAAAGAGAGGAGCTGCAATAGTCAAGAATTAAATATTAATCAAACACTTGCCACAAAGGGATGATCAACAAATGAACTAAGTTTAAAGGGAAAAAAAAAAAAGCAAAATCCACTGAAGTTCTAAGAAAATATTAAAGTGAAACACTGATTTTTTTTTCTTTTTTTTTTTTTGAGACAGTCTTACGATGTAGCCCATAATGTGCCTTAAACTCTTGATCACACTTCCTCAGCTCTCCAGTGCTGGGATTACAGCTGTGTGCTTCATCTGGCTCTCCAAAGACTGCATTTTAACAATTCATGCCATCCGCCCAAGATATTTAATTTCAGGTTGGGTAGCTTCAAGTGCTTTTTTTTTCAAGTCTGGAATGACAGCTTCTTGAAATTACAAACCACCAAGTCTGACATTATGATCCTCAACAAAATCTAGACGTTAACTGACATATAGAAATAAGCAAGTTTTTAGCTTCTTTTTCTTTCAAAAGGCTATAAAATTGATGGATCAATGAAATACTCCAAAATACTGCCTTAATTTCAGTAAATTCCAAGATATCGTCAAGGACAAGACAGAGAAATGCAGATTAACAGTAGTAGGAACTGTTCAACCCTAAACTGTGCATTAATTTTTAATTTTTTTTTTTGTGATACTCAGGTTTGAACTTAGGACCTTGTGCCCCCAGCCCCTGAACTGCTCATCAGTATCAGCTCAGAGGCAGGCACTCTGGAAAACTTTGGCACTGACTTGCTCACCATTTTTAAAAGTGATCTAACATGTGACAACATACTTCTTAAACATTTTTAAATCCGTGCCCTCCTTTCCATTACCAATGTCAATTCTTTAAGACAAATCTTATTTCAGGCCTGTGTCACCACAATAGTCTGACCCCAAAACTGGTCCCAGTCATTTTAACTTTGTCCTTCTTGAACAAACTTCCATGTTGCTGCCAATGTGATCTTAGAAAACGATCTTTTAAAAAAATCTTATTCTTTGACTTTTCTACATCAAGTCCTCTAATAGCTTTCCCAATACCTTTAAGATCAAGTCTAAACTCCACAGCATGGGTATAAAGCCACTGGCACCTGTCCCAGCTTGCCTCCTCAATGTTGGTTTCTACCATTTCTGCCTCTTGCACTTTTTACACACGGTACTGTACACACATGGTACTGTCACATATTATGAACTTTCTGGTCTTCATCCCTCTGCTGGAATGCCCATCTTCTCATTTTCTGTCTGGCAAACACCCATTCATCCTCCAAATGTGCTCAGGTGTGTGAAGACTCCTGACTTTCCATGGTAGAATCTCTCCCACCTCTGTATTACCTTACCTTCGCATCTATGAAGGAATGTAATTCATAGTACCGTTATATACTTATTTAACAATTTGGAAGAACATCTTCCATGTTGAGAACAGGGTCTACTCTACTCGGTCTATAGACTACCCTCCTTCCTATCTGTTTCTAGTTCCTTCTTTTCTTATGCTACAGGCTCGGCATGAACCATCTCGCTTTTTCAGTTGTAATTACCACTTCTATATTTTTGTCTCTGATTATAACTCTAAGTCTAGATGGGTGTTCAAGTGCTATTGTAAAATTAAAGTTAAACAATGTAAGACTATATAATGTAAAAGTATAAAGCCTCCTCCAGACCTCTTACCCTCATAACCAGCCATTCAATTTTGATATTATCTTTCCAGGCGTTTTCAAGGCATAGTAAGACAAAATAAATACATAGCACATAATGAGGGTAAAATTAACCTTATAGTGGTTCTGTAAAAGAAGCCCAAAAACTTAATTTGATGAAAACCTAACAGGCCTCAAAGAATATTTTTGGGCTCAGCCTGGTGGTACACAGCTGTAATCCCAGCTACTCAGGAGATGGTGGTAGGTGGATGGCAGTAGGGGTAAGCTATAAGGTTAGCATCCAGCAAAAAACAGAAGACTCTACTTGAAAAATAAACTAAAACAAAAAAAGGACTGGGGTATGGCTCAAGCTGTAAAGAGCCTGTATTACAAGTAAAAGGACCTGAGTTCAAACACCACCCCCTCAAAAAAAAAAGTTTTAACTTCAGAGATAAGAATAGGGAGAAAATTTTAAATTTCAGGTTTTTTTTGTTTTTTTTTTCCTGGAGAGCAGTACTGGGGTATGAACTCAAGGGCTTTCACTTGTTAAGCAAGTACTCTACCACTTAAGCCATTCCCTCAGCTCAAAATTCAGGCTTTAGTAAAACAATTTTTTAAAGTTCAAATTCAAGGGTCAAAAGAAGTTCTTTGCAACTGGACACATGTAGATGATATGTTCTAGATATAATGGATATAAAGAATATTCATGAGCAAGACAGCATTCAGAAAGAAATAACAAAAAGTCTAGAAATTGATAAGAGAATTTTGCCACTGTATGGAAAGGGAGGTTTGAACTAGCCAGTTTTCTTATCTATAAAATGAAGTAATAACTTCAATATAAAGAGGGGATTCACACAAACAAAAAAAACAAAACAAAAAACCTAAATGAGAGCCTAAGGGCTGAAAGCTATCTTCAAATATAACACCTACTCCTTCAGTACACTTTATAGTTTTCCAATCACTGTCACATACATTCTCTCTTCTGAATCTACAAGAACCTTTCAAGATAAGCAGGTACCATTACAGGTGAAAATGTTGACTGCATAGTCAAACATCTAATAAACTTTCTAGATTATTAGATGTTTGACTCCAATAGAGTCTCCAATACAGTTCAACTGTTGTTTGGTTGCCTGGCATCTATCATTCCTTGTTCTGGTAACAGGATACCTCTGTGTGTAAGAAACAAAATAAACAACAGCAACAAATATTCTCATATGGTTGTAGAGGTGGTGTTACACTTACCCCTGTCCTATTAACTAGCCAGAAGTACTAGATAATTTTAGATACCCCCTCTTGGCCCAAAAAGTGGGCATGTGATCAATCAAAGGCTTCTTGGGATTTTTCAAGTTCAGGTTATACTACTTTATTCTTCTCTTTTGATAAAACTGCAAGAATGTGGTCATGCAGTGCTGACTACAATCACCACTACCGTTAACACCTCCATGCAGAAGAATCTGAGATCATAAGGTCATCAAGCAATAGCGGAGGAAAACACCAATACTGCACACTGATGAAAACCATTTGGAGTTACAGCACTCACTCTTGCAGTTTGTTTTCATGGGTCAGGCAGCCTCCCTATTCTACTTAAGCTAACTTGAGTTAATTTTTGTCACATGCATCTAAAGAGTCCTTTGTCTTGCCACTGCAGCTCTTTAAAACTATGTCAAAACTCAAACCAACATGGGAATGAGAAAGTAGTAGATTTTACCTCACTATAAATAAAAAAATTTCAACTAGTACAGCCAGATTTATGAGATCATGTGTACCCTATTACTAGAAAATGTTACTGTGAATGTTTTGATGAGTTCTCACAGAATGAAAAACTGAGTTGGATATTTTTCAAGTACTTTCCAATGATAAAATTACATACCTCTAAAAGTGAAGGTACAGTTTGCTTCTTTCTCTTTTGAGCATTTTGTTACTGATGCCACACAAGAGTACCTGAATATTGAGTCAGTTATATTAGCCTAATGATACAAAATGAAACATTTCCTTAAAAAATAGAACAAAACTTGTAAGTAAAGAGGATACCCTTGAAGTCAGAGGTAGGTTTTTTTTGGTTGGTGTTGCTGTTCCTTTGTTTTCTTTGCCACCCTATACGCGGGAAAGTTCCAATTAGCCAGTCTAGCCGGTTTTCACATTTATAAACTGGAATAACAATTCCTTCCGCTTCTACTCACTAGTTTCTGTCTCAAAGAGCATATGAAAACATTTCACACTTAAGCCACTACACAAATATTAAATTACAGTGGCTTCTTTGTTAGAATCCTTACACAAAGTTACTTTAAAATTTTCAAGAAAAGCAGCTTCTACTAAACACTAACCCAACCAATATTTCAATGAGATGTCACATAAAATGCTACTTCTCACTGTCTGAGAATATGTGTCTTTGGGGGCAGTCTGATGAAGACAGTGATTTATTTTAGGGGAAATATTTTATTCATTTAGTATGCTTTAGAAGTGCTCCCAGAACTAACTTCATCTCTTAAAACGATAGGTCCCCAAAATGGTAGAAATCAATACATTTAGTTTAGTAGCTGGCCTCAAGATCGAGTTGTGAGACCTTGCACAAGTCCTTTTCAGCCTCTGTAGATGTGGGAGTGGAGACCATGACCCATTTTTCTTCTTCTTCTCCTTTACGAGTTTATTAGCATGTAACAGTTATACAGGAGGATACATTGCGAGATTTACACATGTGCTTAAACTATATCTCAGTTAACCCCTCCATCGTTCTCCTTCTTAGAACAATTTCAACAAAATTCATTAGTCTATATTCACATATGGACACAAAACACACATGACCCATTCCTCGCAACACTGCTTTACTAACTGCAAAAAGCACACGCCAGCTCTGAGCTCCAGAGGAAGAAGGAATCCGTTCAATGAAGGTGGGCTTCCCAATACCCGAGGAAGCACATCGATTCGGGCCGCCCCCGGCCCGGCGCTTCTCCCCGCGCCCCGAGCCGCGGCCCTTCCCTCCCGCGGCGGGCGCGGCCATCACCTGTCTCCACGCTCCCCGGAGGCTGCTCTTCTCTACTGAGGTCCGCGGCCACAGGTCCTGGACAATTGAGACGCCTGAAAACGGGACGCAGGACTCGACTTGTCCGGGAGCACAGGGGCGAACGGGCCAACATTCCCACGCCGCAAGCCGCCATTGTGGAAGCAGCACAGACCTCAAAGGTCAGCGCCCTTGCACGCATGCGCCGCGAGGCGGGCGCCGCAGGAAGCCCGGAGGGACAAACTAGGGCAGGCGTTCGCTGATGCGCGCAGGTGAGGCCCAGGAGAGGGCGCTCGAGGTTTCTGACGCGGTTGCACAGGTTGGACGTAAGCGTTCGTACGCCTCCCTCTGCTCTTGCACTTTCAGAGGTTAGCCTCCTTGTACTTTATTCTCATCTTATAGAAGGGGAAAATGAATGAGGCCATTGTTTTGTCTCCTGTAGAAGATGGATTTTGGACACCCTAGGAGGTTTTGTAAAGTGTTGCCATCCTTACAGGTTTGTGTGAGTATAAAATGATTTATATGACTGGCTCGATTTTGCATCCGTCTGTTTCCACCACCCCCAACAATATCTCCATTCGTTTCTAAGAAAGTTGATATTTCTAATTGTACTAAATTCCTTCACGCCACTTCATAAAAGAGGAAGAATTTCCATTAATTTCTATAAATGCCATTAGGAGGGAAAAAGAGGAACGAAACTTAAAAATCCAAAATAAACAGGCACCTGATTTCCAAGGGGTTCCAAACACAGTGTGCTTAAGATTACACCAAAGAAAAGATAACTCCAGAAGTTTGTGTCATATTCTTTATAATAATGGAGTGGTGGTGGGGATAAAGCATTTATACAGTAACTTCTGGGATAACTTCTGGCAGTAACAAATAACATAACAGTTTTGTTTATTACCAGACGACACACGCGCGCGCACACACACACACACACGTGTTTTACAACAACCCTGTGAGGTAGAAAATATAATCTCCATTTATGGGGAAAATAGAGAAGTAAAGTAACACTCCCAAAGTTATACAGCCAGTTTGGGGCAGAGGTGGGAGTTAAATCTACATGATCTGGTACATGGTTTGCTTATTTCTTTTCACAAGAGCTATGTTGACATTTAATTTGTATGTCATACATTTCACCCCTGTAAGATATACTGTTCAGTGGTTTATAGAATAGTCACAGGGTTTTGCAACAATCACCACAATCACTTTTAAAGCATATTATTACCTCCAAAAGCAACCCTATGACCTTTAGCTATCACCCACAATCACCCCATTTCCCCCCAGTACTAAGCACCCACATATCTGCTTTTTTTTCCTCTATGGAATTGCCTGTTTTGAGTGTTCCACACAAATGGAATCTTATAATATTTAGGCCCTTCTGACCAGCTTCTTTCACTAAAAGGTTCCACTATGTTGTAGCACCTATCAGTACTGTACTTTATCCCACAGACATTTGGGTTGTTTCTACTTTGGGCTACTATGAATAAATGATGCAGCTATGACTATTTCATGTAGAAGGCTTTTTTTGCAAACATATGTTTTTGCTTCTCTTCATTATATACTTAGGAGTAGAAGGGCTGAACCATATGGTAACTCTGACTTTTTGAGGAAGTCCTAGACTATTTTCCAAAGGGGCCATCCAGTTCTCAGTCCCACCAGCAGGGTGTAGGGGTCCAATTTCTGCACATTCTTGCAAATACTTGTTATTTTTGCTTTGATTTTTAATAACAGCCATTCTAGTGGGTGTGAAATGGTGTTTCATGTTTTTGAGTTGTATTTCCATAATGTATATCATCTTTTTTGTGTAATTATTGATCACTTGTGTATTTTCTTCGAGAAATATCTGTTCAGATCCTTTGTGCATTTTTAAATTGGGTTAACTTTTATTAAGATTTAAGAGTTCTTTATATATTCTGGATGCAAGATTTATCAGATATATAATTTGCAAATGTTTAATCCCATGTAGTTCATCCATTTTTTTCTTGTTGCCTAATCCAAGGCGGTAAAGATTTACCCCCTATATTTTCTTCTAAGATTTTTTTATATTTTAAGTTTATACTTTTAGGTCTTTGGCCCATTTTGGGTTGATTTTTGTATATGATAGGAGATGGGGTTCAAACTTCATTATTTGCATGTGACTATCCAATTGTGCCAGCACCCTTTATTGAAAAGACTCTTCTTTCCTGATTGAGTGGCATTGGCACCCATGACCATAGTTACCTGGGTTTTATTTCTGGATTCTCAGTTCAGTGATCTATAAGTCTATCCTATGCCAGTATCACACTGATTATAGTAGCTTTGTAGTAAGTTTATAAATTGGGAAGTGTAGTTCTCCAACTTTGTTCTTTTTTTGAGATTGTTTTGGCTTTTGTGGGTCCCTGTATTTACATAGGAATTTGAAGATCAACTTGTCAATTGTAAAAACAAAGGCAACTAGGATTTTAATAGGGTTCGTATTAAATCTGTATTTTGGTTTTAGGAATATTGTCATCATAATAATATTAAGTCTTCCAAAACATGAATGTGGGGTGGGTTCATGACTCAAGTGGTGGAGCACCTGCCTAGTAAGTAGGAGGCGCTGAGTTCAAACCCCAGTGCCACCAAAACATGAGCATGGGATGTCTTTTCATGTGTTAATTTCTTTCAATAATGATCTACAGTTTTCAGGGTGTTTATTAAGTGATAAGTATTTTATTCTTCATGATATTATTATAAATGGAGTCATTTTTCTCAATTTTGTTTCTGCATTGTTCATTCCAAGTATATAGAAATACACCTAATTGTTGTATATTGCACGGGTAACCTTGCTGAGCCACTTGTTAGTTCTAATGATTTGTCTTTGGGGGAGGGGACGATTCCTTAGGATTTCCACATATAAGATTATGTCATTTGCAAATAAAGATAGTTTTACTTGTTTCCTCTTCAGTCTGGAAGCTTTAATTTCATTTTTTTCCCCAGTTACCCTGGCTGAATCATCCAGCACAGTGTTGCATGGAAGCAGTGAGAGTGTGCACCCTTGTTTTGCTCTTGACCTTAGGGAGACCCCATGCTGTCTTTCCCATTATGTATCATGTTAGCTATGGGTGTTTGTTGATGCCTTTTCTTCCTGTTTCCTAAGAGTTATTTATCAGGAAAGGCTGTTGGATTTTGTGGATTTTTTCCTCATCTTTTGACATGGAATATGTGTTAAAGGATTGACTGGCTGTCAATCACAATAGTAAAGTCTTTGCCCAAAAGCTCCACCTGGTGGTCCAGCGTTGTGGACCTTTCTGGATCTCCTTTGTGATGAGAATCCATTTTTGCCTGGAGAATGATTGCCTTATGCTGTAGCCTAAAATATTATGTTTTGGGCCCAAGTGCTGGCTGAAGACTATTGCCACAATTATTTTACTGAAAACCATTTTTGAAATCATGTGATAGGAAGCCAACTCAAATTTGTGTGAACTGAAGAAGCACATTTATTTATTTATTTATTTATTATTGAACATTTCTACTTTAGGAGTTTTTATGTAAATAGACTTACAGAAGTGTGCATGACACATGCAGAAAGATGTTCACAGCAGCATGCTTTGTAACAGCAGCAAAATGGCAACAACTTAAACATTGCTGATTGCTACATAGACTCCACTACAGGTGCTGTTCAGAACTCTGCTCTGATTCCAGAGACTGATGCACCTTTCCCAGAAGGTGCTCGTGACCCATGCTCCCAGCCCTGCCTCGTATGATTCTGAATGACATGTATTTTTATAACAAGCCTGTATCAGTGTAATCAGTATATTAATTTTGTCATTAAAAATAATTATTTTGGAAATGCATTTAATGAAAATATATTTTCAAGTATATATTATTAAAGATAAAATGATAATGGTTATGTTTTATTTTTACTGTACTCTTTTTTTGTTGTTCTTTTGTTTGTTTTGTTTCATTTTGAGACAGGGTGTCACTGTTCAGCCCAGGTTGTCCTGGAACTCACCATTCTCCTCCTCAGTCTCCTCCTGAGTACTGGGATAACAAGTGTGTACCGGTATACCTGGCTATAATGACCACTCTTGAAAAGACATGAAATTAAATTTTTTTCAATGAAATGAGGACCTCTATATCTGTCAACAATTAACCACATAGATTCAAGCATGAGGGAAAAGAACGAAACTTCTAAAGAATTAGTGAATATTTATTACAACTTTAATTAACTGGTTTACAAAGCTCACCTGCTATTGATTGTATTATGTTCCCCACAAAATGATATGTTCAGATCCTACCCCCTGTACCTCCGAATGGGACATTATTTGGAAATAGGTTCATTGCAGATGTAGTTACTTACAATGAGGTCCTACTGGAGTAGGGTGAACCTCTAATTCAATGTAAGTAGTGTCCTCATAGGAAGATGGACATGGAAGGACAGAGATGCTTAGGAAGGATGCCATGTGATGACAAAGCCAGATGGAATTAAGCAACTGCAGGCCAAAAAAATGCCAGTGATGACCAGCAAACCACCTGAACCTGAGAAGAGAAAAGGAAGGGTTCCTTTATAGATTTCAAAGGGAACATGGCCCTCCCAATACCTTGATCTTGGACTTGTAGACTCCACACCTGTAACACAATATATTTCTATTGCTTTAGGCCACCTAGTTTGTGGTACTTTGCATAGAAAACTAAAATACCTTTCCTGTATGTAGACTTATTACAAATATTACTTTGATATTAGATTATAATTTTCAGTCATAGTCTGTTTCACACCACTCAGCCAATGTGCTCATCTTCTGTTTGGGAGATTCTCTGTGACACAGCTCCATAAGTGATAGCTCCCTGATTCTGTATGCATTAGAAAAGTCAGGAAGAAAACACTCCAAACTGTCAGCAGTGGCTTCCTCTGCAGAAGGATATTAAGGCTGAAGTACATAGAAATGAGTCTTTCAAATTATTGACTTTAAAAATATGAAAAGAGACTCTTTTATCACTAAAAAAGAAGAAAAGTATAAGAAAGAATCCTATTGTAGTTTGGAAAGCCAATCGAAAAATAGCAAATTCTTAAATTGTGCTTATATTTCACCGTCTACTAAGAATACTCATTTTAAAAAGTAAGCTAGTCTTTACATAAATGGGGAGCATGTGTAACCTAAGACTCATGAACAAATGTTCAGGTCATACCACATAATAATTAG